GTTCGGGCACGTTTGGTTCGACGGGAAGAGGATGGCTGTTGAGAAGGAAGGGCCACAACAGCAGGCTGCAATTGACTGGGAGGCATTACTTCGGGCCTCGTTGTTTCGGTGAGAAGGGCCCTAACTCTGCTCCTCTTCGCCATCTCATCTTCAGCGGTTAGTGGGACAAGTCTTATTTCGGGCAAGGTTGCGTCCGGTTCAGGCGCTTCTTCAAGAAGGAAGTCAGTCACTCTTGCTTTTCGGCGACTGCTGTACCGATAGGTCGGCTCAAAGTTCAGAAGCTTAGCCCAACTCCTTTCTTTAAATCGTAGTGCGGCTCGCAAAATTGCAAGGTTTGGATAACTATATAAGGAATGAAGATGGGCGAAATCTACAAAAAAGAGAAGTGTTAGTTCGGTTAATAGACTAACAAAAACCGAAATAAAATACAAGGAAGAAGACCGAAGTCATATTACGGGCTCCCCCTTTTTCCAATTTATAGGCCGACCAGGAATTTGGGCTTGGAAATCCTCAAAGTTCCCAGAGACCCAGAAAAATCATCATTAAGGTCTTTGTCCGGTGTGTGTTTAACTATCTTCTCTCGGCGGCGGCGAATCCTAAGGTAATAGACCCACCCAGCATCTTTTGAGCCGATGGAGTATTGGTGGAAAATTTCGGCCAGACCAAGGTTTAGTCCGGTTTGATGGTTTAGTGCGGCTATTCCCATAATAATGCGGTATGTATTGGTGGACAGTTGGGTGGGGCATAATCTAGTCTGCCTAAGAAATTCACAGATTAATGGTTGGACAGGAAACCGTAGTCCGGTTTCTATTATGGATTGAAGGGTAAAAGGGACGAAGCCTTCGTTTTCCCAAGGAATAACATCTCTTTTGGCCAACACCAGGTGGACGTCATCAGGAATTTGGTAATCTTTCCTAAATTCGGCCATGCCACCAGGGGTCTCAACTAGATACCTATACTTACCCATCTGATGAATAAATTACTTATAATTTATATCGGTGCAAAAATCGTGCTCAGTAGCTCGGTTGAGCGCACGCAGGATTGCCTGGGTAACCTAAGTCTGCAAAGTAAAAAACAGAGGGGGTTAAAGCACTGATCAACGGACCGTGCTACAATTTAAAAGCAAGGTATAAAAGCCCTACTTCGGCCACAAAGAACTGGTTCTTTCATCAAAAGGTTTGGTAGCTCGGTTTGAGCAGTTTGCACGGAAGACCGGTTTACCGTCTAGGGGCAGCTCTCTGAGTTCGGTCTAAAAAACTAAGAAAGCTGGTTTAGCCCCAAGGCCTAAATCGGTTGCAGTGTGAAGGAAGTTACTTCGGTTGAACCCCTGGGGGCGGCTTTCTGAGTTCGGTTTAGGAACCAAGAAAGCCGGTTTGGCCCCAAAAACTTAGTTCGGTCGACAACCGAGGTTCCTAGTTTGCTATATTCAAAACTCGGTGATCTTATTTCGGCTCAAGAAAGTCAGGCTCTGGTAACCCTTTGAAAACTTTTAAGTTCTAGTTCGGTTATTGACTACAGAGATCTACGTATTTGGGGCAAACAGGATCCTAGTTCGGTTGCTATGTGATTTTGGATCTAAGACTGGTTTTTCTACATAACAGTTCATACACGTACAAGTTCTATGGTTTTTTCATGAAAATACAGAAGCAAAAACAAAAATACACAAGCATGCTTCACCAAGATAGAGAAGACAGAAAAGAAGAAAGCAAAAACAAGTTTTTTCAAGACTTACCAGAGGGAAACAAAGGCAAAGAAGGGAGAATGGTAGCAAAACCACAGCCTCTTCGAGTGCAATGGAAGAACAGCTAGAGCACACAGAGAGAATACGAAGAATATGAAAAGTGTAAGTGAATGATTCAAGAGTAGAAAAGTTGTTTTGTGAAAAAGGACAGAGAAGAGGCGGCAAAAAGAGGTGGGACTGTTCAAAAAGTTTGAAGTACGAAGGCGGCGTGATAACAGCTCACAACCTATCAGAGCCCGCCACGTGGCAAGGGAAGGGGAAGCGTTACAGTCGTGATTAAAGAGACGTTTTGACCAGATAAAGCAGAGCTCGAAGTAGAACTAGCTCGGCTGGATACGCTGAAGGGTTTTTTATCTCGGCCGGAAAGGCTTGTAGAACTTCAGCTCGGTTGAAGGATTTGTAATCTCAATCATGCTATGCAGATGAAATTAAGGGGCAATTGAGAGGGTATTTTTTGATAAAAATTGGGCCGAGCTGTGAAATGGACTTTGTGGCCCAAAATGCCAAGGACTGGGTAAAAAGGCTGAAGTGTTACTCCGGCCCAAGAGAGGTCACTCTGGCCCAAGCTGTTAAAGTTACGCCGGTTCATAGACAATAGATTTACTCCGGCTTTGAGGAGATGGTGACTTACTTCGGTCAAAAGAGATGAAGTTGCTTCGGCTAAGGAATTGTAAAGCTGCCTCGGTTTGGACAATCTGAGTTAGTCCGGTCTCAAAAGGTAGTCCGGTCATTATGAATTCGGGGTAGGTCGGTCGGAATGTTGCCATTCAGTAAATCGGTCCGAACACACCACGGTTCGTGTATGAGAGAACCGAGATATGGTGTAGCATAAAGAAGAACCAAACTATTGTTAGTACGGCCTACTTTGTGGCTCGGCATAGCCAGTTTTACTTCGGTCATATAATAGTTCGGCTAAAGTGAAAACCATCTCACTTGGTTTAAGCAGTGGGGGAGGGTGTAAAAGGATAAGCATTATCCTTAGGAGTATGAATCCTAGGAGGACTCTGCATGGAGGAATACAAGTCCTACCAGGATTGTGCCACGGGAAACTTATAAAAGCTTACAAACATCACCTTGGAGGAGGTAATTGAACACAATTCTTTCTGAGAACATAGAGCTTTGTCTATTTGTCAAGCTTACTGACTTAGGCATCGGAGAGGTTTCCGGCACACACCCGCCGGGTAGCTCACGTTTGTGTTTTCAGGTAATAAAGCGACGTCGTACGGAGGAGCGTGGACTTGGTCAACAGGATTATACGAGGAGAATTATTTCCTCCCCGTACAAAGTTATAATTTTATTTAACAAAATCCAATAAATTTTTCATTTTTATGATACTTGCAATCAATCAGTGGTCTTGAACCACCAAGGCCCTAATGGTCAATGAAATATGGTGTGATGTTATCCATTGGTGAGGTTAATCCATAACACATGGAAGCTGTTGAGGTCAACACATGCATGAATCAAGACAACCAACACAATAGACATTAACAAAGACAACTAATATATGGAGGCCCTAATTGATTAATTGGATTGGATCACTAATTCAGTGTACATGTCATGAGACCTCAAACTTTAATTTATTTGTGCATATTATTTATCAAAAAATTAAAAATTAAATTAATTTAATAAATATAAATTATAAGATTTATTTATATATGCTTCTAATATATTTATAAATTTATACTAGGTATATAGTTGATATTCTTATTGAATTAATCTCAACTTTTTAGTTCAAATTTAAATTAAAAAAAAAACTTATTTTTATACGAGTACAAGCCAAGCCAAGACAAGCCAAGCCAAAAGTGGAGCCAGTCAGCAATTGAATCCAAACTCAAGCCATTCAACCATGTCAACCGAAAGTAACTGTCAATGAACCAAAATAAAACTACCCTTAAAAGTAACAAATAAACAAATAAAACAGAAAACGACAAAGGGAAGTAGAGAATCAATTTCATTAGAAAACCGAAAACAGATTGGCACCTCTAAATTAAGAGTTTTAATAGTTTTAATTAGTGTATGGGTCTTATATAATATGATATTCTGATTTTAATTTTTTTTTTAATTTTTTACATCATTAATACTCTTTTAAAACTCATAAATTAAAAAGAGGTAAGAAACCCATAACCCCCTCACCTGAGTATTAAATACAAGGGCCTCGTAAGAAGAAAAAAATAATTTATGAGGTACACCTAAAACAATATTATACATCATTTATCAATGTATATATAATTAAAAAACATCATACAAAAATAGTAGTGTTATGATGAAAAATTATTCAATATTTTTAAAGTATCATATTTTCATATTTTTTCACTAATTATCATATATCATTTTTTCTCAATTATTCAACACAAAATCATAAATCTTACTTTCTCTACTAATTACAATATCTTAAAACACCATGTCACCGTATTTCAAGATGACCCAATAACCCCTCATGATAATGGTTATACTTTTTTAGGACATTAATCATAGGGTCTGATCTATAAAATAAAAAAAAAAAAAAATTATAATGAGAGTTGTTATATTTAATGCTCTTATCACTTATATTCGTTATTGTAGCGTCAAATTGCATGATAAATCAAATATAACATAAAATTGTGATAATTATAATATTATTGATATAAAAATAATAAACTTGCTTTCTAAATTTAAAATAAAAAAATTATCAAAAATTTTGTGATATCAAAATTGTTATTGTCACATTATTCAAGTGAAAAATTATATAGATTAATAATTATCAAATTAGAGTATCATATAGATTTACTCAAAAAATATTGAACAATTTTTCTACACAGTTCTCAATTTACAACAGAGAGCTTCTCCAAGGGACTCTTTAACACAGGCTAGGTGGTTATTATAGATAATATCATTCTATTTTTGTCATTTCAATAGGTTAACTATTATAATATTTATTTTAATAAATTTTTTTAAGATTAGCTATATTTAAAAAGCCTTGAAAAACTCTTTAAACCATTTGAGTGAAAAAATAGGTAAACTAAATAGTAATATTAAAATGCATGAACTAAAAAAGAATTAGGCAAAGGCAAAACAAATATTATATTTTTTTTATATTTTAATTAGTAAAAAATTAAAAAAAAAATGATTGAAATAGCTTTAACAGATGAAACTTATATATTTACAATTTTTTATTACAGTATTTTATTAATTGGTGACAATAACGGTCAATATATTTTTCCACAAGAGGCCCACCCAACACCCTCATTGTCTCATTTTCCACTGCCCGATGTCCCTTAGAACATGGAGGAAATTATGGCACCTTTCCCTGATATAAGTTCTAAGTTCTTCTCCCTCTTTCTCTCTCTCTCTCTCTTTCTTGACAACCATAAAAGCTCTTAAACAATACCCAACACTTCTTATTAGTTCTCCTGGCTGCAAAGCCATCAATCCTCTCTTAGACAAATTATTTTCTTTTTTAGACAATTTTCTCGAGAAAGTTGAAGAATAGAAAATGGAGATAGAATCAGCAAAGTGCGAGTGTTGCGGGTTGAAAGAAGACTGCACCCAAGACTACATCAATGAAGTGAAAGCTAAATTTGACAGTAAATGGCTATGTGGGCTGTGCTCTGAGGCAGTGAGAGACGAAGTAAACAGAGGGAATTCAAAGAAGCCATTCGGAGTCGAAGAAGCTGTGAAGGCTCACATGTCGTTTTGTCGTAAATATAAATCGAATCCCGCGATTCGTGTCGCGGACGGGATGAGGCAGATGCTGAGGAGAAGGTCTGGAGATTTGTCGTCCTCGTCCAAGAAGTATTCGAGATCATCTACCACATCACAGGTAGGAGATGAGTCATCTTTCAAGTATTGATAGCTAGAAGAAGAAGAAGAAGAAGAAGAAGAAGAAGATGTAGATAGAGAGGAATGGTGTTTGGTTGGGAATTGGAATAAGGTTTTTTTGAGAGTCTTTAATGGCTGAAAATCTCGTCTTGTGTTGTAAAGGGGATGTAGTTTCAATGGAGGGTTCTTTTTTTTCTTTTTTCTTTCTCTTCTCTTGATATATGGGTATGTTTTCGTTCGACGACATAGGTATCATTTTCTTTATTTTCTACATTATTTTTATTAAAAATTAAAAAATTAATTAAAATAATCAATTTCTAAATAGGTTAATATTCTTTAAAGAGAAGATGTATTTTTTTTTTTACTTTTTTACTTTTCCGATGTATCAAAAAAAAAAAAAAAAAAAAAAAAAAAAAAAAAAAAAACAGGTATTTTTAGAGGAAAAAATATAGTCACACCCTAATGAAAAAATAGTCACACCCACATTAGAGGATAGAAATTTTCCTCCATCCAGCCCCAACCCCTTCTTCCCATGTCGTCCCGTGCAAAATTTTTACTTTTCCGATAAAAAATGAGGGATAGATCTCTCCATTTTATTTCTGCTTCTATCTCCATTATATTAATTAAATACACTTTACGTATATGAATTTTTATATAATTTAATTTATTAAATATAGTAAATGTAAAATATCAAAATTTTTATTTTTGTTTAGTTTTTATTTCTGATAAATAATAATTTCAACTCTTCAATATTTGTTCTTCTTATGTTGATCTATTTTGAGAAGTGGATTAAAAATCACTTCTAAATTTTTAACTTACTTTTTTCACAAAAAAAATCAAAAGAAATTAAAAGGTAATTTCTAACCATCTTCCAAAACATATGTTTGATTTGCATTTGGCAGATGAGTTTTAAAAAAAAATTTAAAAAAATTGTTTGGTTTGAGTTTTTCACAAAAAAATTTTAAAATCACTTTCTCTCTCTCTTACACATCAATCAATCATTTTTTTTCTCTCTTCTCTCATTTTCAATTACTTTTTTTCTCACACACATCTATTCAAATTCTTCCAAAATATTAAATCATTCCAAACTTTTAAAAAAACAACTCTCCCAAAATATACAATCAAATAAATCAAAAAAATTTCACTCTCTCTCCAAATTTTTTTTCAAAAATAATTCTCTCAAAAACAAACCAAACAAGCCCTCGTTTCTTTCCCATGTACGCCAAATTATCCTACCTCCTCTTCAATCTACAATCCCAAAAAAGAACAAAGCAAGAAGAGAGCAACTGTGTGGGACTTACAAATTTGTGTCGAGGTCTCACATGCGTACTTTTTGGGTGTGAGGATGTGTTTGTATCATAATTGTAAATGAAAACGTTCTTCCAACGAGGAAGGAGAAAAGAGAGAATATTTTGTACTCAAATTTTCTTATTTTTTTATGTCTTGTTTATTTCGAGAGATAGAATAAAATAGAAGGGATTAATAGTGAGGAATTATTAAATTATTTTTATATAAAATAATACAATAAATAAAAAAATAAATATTATATTTAAAAAAATTTCTAATATATAAAAAATAAAAAATAATAAAAAAATTTCTAATCCCCTCACTATTTTTTTAATACCATCTCTACCTCCTCTTACCAATCTCCATTTCTCTTCCTTACTAATATCAAGAGATTACTAATCCTCTCCCTATTTCTCAAAATAAACATCTCATTTTCAATCTCCCCTTCACTATCAAACTTAATCCCCTCTATGTAACCCCAAACAAACTGGGCTATACTCCATGCAATTCCAACTCTAGCATGTTGTAAGAATCGTGAAAGACGGAAATTTCAAGGGATGATCACGTAACTGGAAAGTGTGTTAGGTAGGGAAAAAAAAGAAAGTTTAGGTATTGCATATTTTTTTTACGGAAATGAGCCGTACCTCGAATTGGTTGGCTCGAATTGGCTTGAAAGAGGGAGAGAAGAGAGGAAGAAGAGAGGAGAACGAGACAGAGGAGAAAGAGGGAGAGAAGAGAGGAAGAAGAGAGGAGAAGAGAAAGAGGAGAAGAGCCAGCACCACCGCTGCTGCCGAGGATCGTCGCTGCTCGTCGACTCTGCCTCGCCTCCGCCCCCCGCCCCCCTCCTCCAGTCCCTTCGAGATCATCTACCACATCACAGGTAGGAGATGAGTCATCTTTCAAGTATTGATAGCTAGAAGAAGAAGAAGAAGAAGAAGAAGCTCCTCCTCCTCCTCCCTCCTTCCTCCTCATTCCTTCCTTCTCTTCTCCTTCTCTGCTTCTGATTCGAGCCAATTTCGAGCTCCACCTTTCGAGCTACGTAGCACTACCGTTTTTTTTATCAAATAAAATATCATAAATACAAGCCTATGAGTAAGAAGTGAAAAATTTATACATATTAAATTTAAGTCAATTATCAAACGATTGTATTGACAGTTCTTTTGTTTCAATGAATAGGACTTTAAAATTGTCAAGTGCAGAGAAAAGAAAAATTAAAAGATAGAGGGAGACGGAGAAATATGATTGAGTAAACAATCGGGTGATTGAGTGAACAATTATGATGTGTTTGGTTGGAAGATTTGATGAGGAATTTGGAAAGAAAAATGAAAAAGATAGGTGAAATGTGAATAAAACATGCTTAAATTTCACCTAGTTTCACATACATTTTCCCTTTCCCTTTCCAAATCCCTCTCCAAATCTCCCAACCAAACACAGTATCAAAGTAATAATTAATTATCTCTATTCCTATGCTTTAATGTTTCGAAAATGAAGTATTGAAAATAAATTTCAGGAAATATAAATGATGAGAAAAAATAGAAATCAATTATCTTTGATTTGAATTGGATCTCCTTTACAATGTAGCTATGAATGGCTATTTATAGACAAACATTTATAAGAAAAAACTACCTAATAATTACCATATCCTTCCATCTCCCACACTTCACACTTAATAATCTCCCACGTTTGTTTGGCAGACTAGGTTGGATGAGATTATTAGTGAGAGGATTGTTAGTGAAAAGATTGTTAATGTGTGGATTGTTAGTGATGGGATTAAGTAAAAGTGTGTTTGTTTTGATGATTGTGTAGGAGATGATTAGTGATGGGATTGTTGAATTATTTTTATATAAAATAAATAAATAAATAAATTATTTCTATATTAAAAAAAATTAAAACAAATATTAAAACAAATAGGTGCACTTGGTAAAAAAAATAAAATTTAAAAAATAATTTTTTTTTTATATAAAATAGACTTAATCTCCTCACTATTTTCCTAATCCCACCTAAAATTCACCCAAGCTAATCCTCCTATATAGAGGGATTACTAAGCCCCCTTCACTACTAATCCTATGCCATTTTGTTGCATCCCACGGATTGGTAATCCAATGCACCCTCCCAAACCCCCAATCAAATATGACTTATGTTTCCATAACTTTCTTTAACTTCTAATTCATACTCCATGTTCTCCACTTTGTCCTCTATCATTTTTCACATGTGTTTAATGATTCATAACTTTTTATAATCTCCAAATAAGTAAAAGAGTGTTATATGTCCTGCAATTATGGGGTGTTTTGGGATGATGATTAATATCTAGTTTTTTGACATTTTTTGAAAAAAGATGTAAAAAATGTGAGAGATTATGTGACTAAAAATGAGTTAAAAGTTGAGAAGTGACTTTTAACTCACTTCCTAAAATAAGCCTATATAAATAATAACTAATAATGAAATTATTTATTTATAGTGGCAACCGGTACAGAATATTTCTTGACAAATTTTTTCAAAAAATCAAGGGCAAATTATCAACCACCCTTGAGGTTGGACTAAAATATAAATTTCTCATAAAATTTGAGAAATTACAAATTATCTCCTAAAGATTATAATTACATAACAAATTAAGAGATAATTTATTATATAAACAGAAATCTCAGAAGCGAGATATAATTTCTTAAATCTTATAGAGAAATTTATATTCTAGTCAAATCTGATCAGGTTAATAATTTGCCCAAAAATCAAATATCTACCATGGCTAGCACCAGACCTACACGAATGACGGCTTGAGTTTATCACATATATTTTTTAAAATTTTAGTAAGAATAGATAATTACTTCATGATAATTTCTAATGGCTTCGAAGTCGCATAAAAATTAAGCTTTTTATTTTTTATATTTTTTTATTTTTAAGTGAATATTTTTTATATTTTTTTAGATGTATTCGATTTAGATATATCTAAAAAATAAAATATTAGTGAAAAAATATTTTAAAAAATATACAAAAATATAAAAAATACACTGAATTTTTATTTTTTTTAAATATTTTTGATATTTAGTGAATTTCTTAAAGATTGTTTTCACGAAAATTATACTTTTTAAGTGTATTTATGTTAGGTGTGTCTAAAAGTTTAAAAAAAGGGGATGCACCAATAAATCCCAAATTAATAACTTATACACTGTTTAGTCCTAAAAGTTTTCTTATAGACTGAAAGGTCCCATTACAATGTTTTAAATATCATATTAATGTTTCGAACATTAGATTTCGACATCAGATTAATGTTTCGAACATTAGATTTCGAACATCAGATTAATGTTTCAAACATTAGATTGATGTGCAAATGGGACTAAATGGAGCATAAGAAAACTTTTAGGACTAAATGGTTTAACTTTTCAGAAACTAGGACTTATGGGTAAATTTTCCTTAAAAAAAATTACTTAAAATATTAAAAAAATTTAATAAAAATAAAAAATACAGAAAATAATAAAGTAAAATTTTCTGAAAAATATTTTGAAAAAACTAGAAACAAACATGGTGATTATTTTTTCTTCTTTCTAAAGTTGAAGGACATTGAATTTTGCAATTTTCTGAAGAACCAATAAAAACTGAGTTGAAAAGGTGAAAATGAAGAAACTTTGTGTTGATTCTTGAAGACATGGATGTTTTTCCTTTGTAAATTCATCACTTTCAAAGTTAGGTTTTCCAACTTTGAAGATGAGGATATATATATATATATATATTCTATCATATAAAGCCTATAATCCAGTAAAATTTTATCACAATTTTTTTCATTTTAATTACCCTGGAACTATTTCATTTTTTATTTTAAAATTAAAAATTTGAAGCTTCTTCGATTTTGTTTTCTTCTCTTTATCTACATTTCTTTTGTCAATAAGTAAAAGATCAATCAATTGCTTTTCATAATACACCCATCTAGTGTGCACAATTTTTTTGTACATTTAAGATGAATAGATTTACATATCACATAATTTTGTTGAT